GCACACTGCAATGATCTAATCTCAAAAAAAATTTCACACAAAAAATTCTGTAAATTTGTTCAACATAGTTGTTGGAGAAAGAAACCTTAACTAGAAAGTTGGCAGGATAAATTTGTTTTAAATGGAAGATTACTTCCACAGGGTCAGTTTCAGAGACGTCAGAAAAGACAGTTCAATAACTTTTAACTTCATCATCAGACTTCAGATAAGATGGGGCAATTCTAGACGCTGAACATAGATGCAGTCTCTTGAACTTTTGTGAAGCGAGCTGTGAGTCCACCTGTGAGTCCACCTGTGAGTCCAGCTGTGAGTCCACCTGTGAGTCCATCTGTGAGTCTAGTCCAGCTGTGAGACCAGTTATAACAGAATTAATAATAGGATTTAAAAAGTTAACTTAAAAATGGATTTTTTTATCCAGTTCAGATGACGTACTGGAATCACATGTAGTGCCCTCTAATAGGCACTCAAAGAAATGTTTGGGTTTTTTCTCACTCTTGATTAGGAATTCAGAACTAGTATTTGATGATTTATCTGAACGTTTGACCTCTTCCAGACAATTTTTACACTCATTCCGAAGAGATTTTAGTTCACATATCAATGAATTCAGATTGATCACTTCAATGTCAATAGTAGTAGCAGATTTCAAAAATGACACATATGAAAGATGTTATGATGACACATGAAATATTTAATAAATTTAATATATTCCTTTATATTCCTGTATGTGTCTTCAGGCTAAGATTGAGATCCAAAACTTTCTTCAGAGTTTCAATTTTTCCAGGCAATTTGGGAAAGGTCGCATCCTAACACGTCCCAGAAAATCCGTGGAGCTTAACATCACCAATTATATTCTGTAGTATATTCCAGCGCTCTGTGTTTGTCTAAAAAGATAGTGTGCCCAATTTGAAAACTCCAAAAAATTATCAGCATCTGTGGAGCTTGAAGCTGCATTCAATCCTTATAAATTCAATAAGTAAATTTACATGGTAAAAAAACAGGCAGTGGGTTTTGCTGGTGAAAAATTGTTTGAACTCCTTTATACTCTCAAGCAATATTTGCACCATTGACATATCTTGGCCCTAGGCAATCCATACAAGTAATTTCCACTACGGTATACTTACAAAGCTTTCAATGGCAGATTCGGACACTTCAGATCCAGGTTTTTTCAACAATCCGTGAATGTCAATAATCTCTCCACTACGGGAAACTGTCCAGTATCACATTTTGCAAACACATATCGCATAAGTCGTGTGGTTTGTTCAGTATGGCTCACATCAAATTTGGATCAACCGTGATTAGACATATTTGGCTGATTCACGCACACATACAATTTTCTTACGCATTTTAACTGCAAATTAGAGAGATAATGGGCTTGAAGTCGTTGACCATTTCGTTGTGACTATTGAATCATAAGCCCTTGTTGATGAGAATTGGATTATAATTGGGGAATCGGCTGCAGAAGTCCCTGAAAATTGCCTTGGTATGGGCATCCAATCAGGTCAGATTTTTTTTCCACGAAACTCCAATCTATGTTTACCAAGAAAAAAAAGGAAATCCGAAATTCACTCTTGAATTTTTCTCCATCTTGCATCTTCACTCGTATGATCACTTGAATGAGACTGAACAGATCGGGTTGTCTTCACTCTTTCAACAGATCGGTGTGTCTTCACTCTATCAACTGATCGGTGTGTTTTTACTCAGAAACAGCTTGGTTTGTCTTCACTCCATCGAAAAATCGGTTTGTTTTCACTCTGTCAACATATGAGTTTGTCTTCAGTCAGATCACCAATTCACACCACTTGATTTAGCACTGTTGAGGCCTTGGAACACAAGTGATGAGATTTCCCCCACTTCTTTTCAGTTGCCCATCTTGAATGTTGCAAGTGTTTACATTTTTTCTACTTTGCTGTTCAAACAAAACAATTTACATAGCAAACAATACCTTTAAAAAAATATGTTAATTATTTTGACCGTTTACCTTTCAAAACTGACTTTGGGGAAAGCACTGGTTCCCCCATCTGTTGGTCAATCTAATCGAAAAGTTAGACGTGTTCCACCTGGACTCTCCAAATGAGCAGCCAATAGAAATGTGTCCGATTCAAGTTCTAGATGACGTATGACTAAAAACCTATTTTGGCTTCAGTTGATTTTCCCAGAGATATCTGATGAAAAATAAAATTTCACCCTTGCGGTTCCCCCCCCCCTTTTTTTTTCGAGGACGGACATGACAGGATCCCGATAGGTTTGATCGTTTGCCTTGGCGTCTGCCCGCCCCTGTGGAGTCAAAACAAGCTTTCAAGGAGAAGTCAAGACCTTGACTTGACCACCCGTGTCATGGTACATCTTTCATGAAGGTTGGTGCTTTCTCTAGGATCAGGCAATGTACTCGGATCAGGTAATGTACTAAGAGCCAGCAATGTAATCAGAGCCAGCAATGTACTCAGAGCCAGCAATGTAGTCAGTGCCAGCAATGTAGTCAGTGCCAGCAATGCACTCAGATCCAGCAATGTACTCAGATCAGCCAATGTACGTTGAAGTATTCACACTTAATTTTCGCATTTGTCGTTGCTCCAGGTATGACAGCTAGGACAGCACCAATTACGACGTCGCCGATCGGACATCAGATTGGTGACGCTTCTGAAGACGGTGACTTCGTTGCTCTAAGGGAGAATCGAGAGGTAGGTTATCACACCGGGGAGAGGTAGGTTATCACACCAGGGAGAGGTAGGTTATCACACCGGGGATAGGTAGGTTATCTCACCGGGGAGAGGTAGGTTATCTCACCGGGGAGAGGTAGGTTATCACACCGGGGAGAGGTAGGTTATCTCACCGGGGAGAGGCAGGTTATCTCACCGGGGAGAGGTAGGTTATCACACCGGGGAGAGGCAGGTGATCACACCGGGCTGTTAAGATTAGGCTTGGCGACCTGTCTGAGGGAGGTTATCACACCGAGCTGTTAAGATTAGGCATGGCGACCTGTCTGAGGTAGGTTATCACACCGGGGAGAGGTAGGTTATCACACCGGGCTGTTAAGATTAGGCTTGGCGACCTGTCTGAAGTAGGTTATCACACCGGGCTGTTAAGATTAGGCTTGGCGACCTGTCTGAGGTAGGTTATCACACCGGGCTGTTAAGATTAGGCTTGGCGACCTGTCTGAGGTAGGTTATCACACCGGGCTGTTAAGATTAGGCTTGACGACCTGTCTGAGGTAGGTTATCACACCGGGCTGTTAAGATTAGGCATGGCGACCTGTCTGAGGTAGGTTATCACACCGGGCTGTTAAGATTAGGCATGACGACCTGTCTGGCAAGAAGGTGGAGAATTTTCAAAAGATCTGATGAATTTAGAAGTTAAATTTATTTAATTTTTTTTAAACACATTTGTTTACTTCATTAAAATCTTTTCTTTATTTATTTTTGCATTCCTAATAACTCCTTCACAGTCGCGGGGCCAGGGCGGTGATTTATTGTTAAACACAATTTATAGGAAGACAGTTTATGTTACAATCACGGCAATTATTTTTATAAATGAAGGGACTGCTTTCAAGCTATTTAAATGAATGAAATAGTGAAACGAGGTATGTGGAAGCTTGAAATAAGGTAACAGGACAAAAAACAAGGACGTTTCGGCATAAAGCCTTCCTCAGCCAACAATAGAAATGAAAATATAACAAAGAAAAGAACACAGTAGAAAACTCAAGCAGTATTCATTCGTCTCTCCGGAAGTGAGAGAATATAAATTATTTTTATACTGCACATAAATGTATATTAAAATTATACAAGTCTGGCTCAAAGTCCTTCCACCCATCTGAATATATTGTCATAAATAACCCATCTGAATATATTGTCATAAATAACCCATCTGAATATATTGTCATAAATAACCCATCTGAATATATTGGCATATGAAAACCCCATCTCTTATAGAACCGAGTACCTGAGACTTTGGACCTCTCCACGCTGACCTTGACCGAGATTTTAGAAAGTGTCAACGCCACAAGGCCGTCGCCAACAAGGGTAAGGTCGGGGAGCTTGGCAGCCAAACAAAAACCGGATGCAGGGGACGAAGCCTCTTGGGCAGAGCTAACAGGCAAGCTGTGTTTTTCAAATAGCATTGATCCCACTCCATATAATATATAACAGAGTATATTTATAAAGTTTTAAAAAGTGCAATTATTTCACCAACAAAATGTGTTAACTATTTTTGTATGTCATGCAACAATTTCCACAAAAATTCTGAACAACTTTTAATTTGTTCGGGGTCACGTTAGAGATAGATCCGGTTTATTCTCTTTCATATATATTTTGTTTCCCTCTCTTAATAATCTTAATAAATAATATTGTACGTTAATCAAAAATAGATACATTAATTGAAGTCACTGTCCATTTTTGTTCAAATTTTTGTTCAACTGTGATGTTATGTTCTTTTTCTCCCCAGAAGCTTTAATGAGTGGACCAGAGGAATTCAAACATGTTCTTCACAAAATACGTGACACGACAAAACTTTGCAGCAAAGTCTTCCTGGACCCCAGAAATAACCAAAACATTCTTCATTCTGCTGTAGAGATCAACAGGGCACTAGCCAGCCTCGTCTTGGAGAGAGGTCACGAAGATTTAATTCATCAACAGTTTGATGTCAGTGTATCAAACATCGTCGGGAAGAAGAACGTCCTGCACCAGGCAGTAGAGCAGAACGATCTGACGCTTTTAAACATGTTACTAGCGAAAATTTCAAATCCGCTGAAGCGAATCGCGCTGTTGAGCCAGGAAACGCCGATCGATATAAAAGGCCAAAGGCCAAGGACGTTTCCTTGTCTGCACCTCGCGGCGTACCACGGATTTACAGACATCGTGGCGGTCATCGTTGGTCAAGGCGTCGATGTCAACCACGCCAATGCTAAAAAAGATACGTCACTTCTCTGGGCCTCGCGTTGGAATCACGTGGCAACCATCAGAGAGTTGTTACAATTAGGAGCTCTCCCGAATGTGGAAAACGACAAAGGTGCCACGGCCCTGTACTGGGCAGTGCGTTACGGCCATTCAGAAGCTGTTGACCTTTTGGTGAGGGAAGGAAACGCTAACGTCAATCAGACAAGGAAGTTTGGATTCGTCGCGCCCATCGTGTTGGCTTCTGTGCTGGGCTTCACGGACACAGTGTCCATTTTATTGGAGTTTGGGGCCGATCCAAATTTTGCCATTCGGGGTGGAGAGAGACCCATTCACCACGCAGGGAGAGAGGGATTCTCAAAAATAATAAAGGTAGGTCTCCTTAACCCTCCTTACAATCGTAGTTGTGGCTTTGGTCTTAGCTTCACCCACGGCGAGTGTTATACTTAAAAATAAGTTTCTCTGTCTGTAGATTCAATTCCAACCTTTCAGTCTAATATCCAACTTATCCAGATCCTTTCAAAATGTCTCCATTCAAGTCTTCTGCAGTCTTCCTTGTTTCTTGTTTCCGTTTAGTGGCATCCAGCTAAAATTCTATCTGAGCCACACGCCCATGTGTCCTTCCAATCGTATGCTTGTTCTTATAATTGCTTCCTTCTTTATTTATTTGTAATGTAGTCAATACTACCCGTTCTTTAATTGATTGTAATGTAGTCGATAATAATAATAATAAAGTTTATTTGAAAAACACGTTTTATCCCCAAAAGTTCCAAGCGCGGTACAAAGTCAACCATATTAAAAAGAGAAATAAAAAACAATCTAAAATTTACCACATTTAAAAACAGACGCAACAATATAAAAACTACATACGAGCATACCAAGTCAAAGCCTTTCATCCCATTTCAACCATGAGCAACACAGGCCAATATACATTAACTGGAAAAAGATTGTAGATAGCGTCGCCCCAGAAAGAGTTTGCGAAATAGATGTGTTTTTAAATCGGTTTTAAAGGACTCAAGTGTCTGGCTGTTTCTGAGAACGACAGGAAGGGCGTTCCAAATTGTTGGGCCAGCAAATGCAAAAGTGCACTTTCCGTAATTCTCAAGGCGAACACGCGGTATCGATATTGTACCACTATCGGGTGAGCAGAGCTGTCTAGTGGGTACATAAGGCGTCATGAGTGCTTTGAGATAGGACGGCGCCAGGTCATGTAAGCAAAGTTGCAATTTTGTACTCTATGCGAGCGCGAACCGGCAGCCAGTGCAGCTCCTCGCTCTTTCGACACTACCCGATATTTATTTGATTGTACCGGTATCAATAAGTATTCGATTGCTAGACCTGGAAGATGCTGGCAGATGCTATGAAACTAGTGGCTTAAACAATTTATCAGAATCTTTCGGGCTTAAAGCATTTTTACGCATTTTTTTTGTCTATATACCAATCAACCAAATTGACATACTATCCCAAAGCATTTGCAGTCACAGTAGTTGACTTAATATCCCACGACATTTCAATCACCACTATTGACATTATATCCTAAGGCATTGGCAGTCACCCTAAGTGAAATATTGATCTAAGGCTCATACTAAGAATGTCGTTCTGGAAGAAAGATTTCCTTTTTCCAAAATCATACCCAACATTTTTCTAAATATCGTTTTGAAAAAAAAAAATTGGAGAAGATAACAGTTCATTCTCCTTTTGCATCAAGCAAAATCAATTTTAAATGGGAATAAGTTTTTTTTAAACTGGCACACAATAGTCATAAATACACGATTTTTATGAGACGATAAATACACTACCTTGTTTCCTGGCACCGGTTTTCATCAAATTGTTGAATTCTCAGATTCTCGTGGCGAAAGGCGCTAAAATAGATGCCGCTGATGACAGAGGAGATACTGCTTTACTTCTGACGGCTAAACATGGTAGACCGGCTGCACTGCAAACATTGGTACAATAATCAAATAGGCCTATAACTATATACATATCTTTATATATATATATATATATATATATATATATATATATATATATATATATATATATATGTGTGTGTGTGTGTGTGTGTGTGTGTGTGTGTGTGTGTGTGTGTGTGTGTGTGTGTGTGTGTGTGTGTGTATAGCCAACTTTACGTAAATTTATGGAAAGCTCTTAAAGATTCTTTTCCTAAAATGACTTGTCCGTAAATGACCGTAAGAACTTAAAGGTTACGGTGAAAAACAAGACATTGTACATAGTTAGTTTGTGATCTTCTTAGGGGTCGTTCGCAAATTACGTCACGCAAAAAATGAATTTTCAGACACCCTCTCTCTCTCTGTCACAAAGTGTCACAAATTCTTTACCCCCCTCCCCTCTGGAGAGAGGGGTCAAGAATTTCTGACACAGGGGAGCGGAGGGGTCACGTCACACCTCAAATAATTCATAACATACATAAAATTTTCATAACTAAATTTAGATTTATTTTATTTTTTTAACATTTTCCCATAATGGACTAAGATGTAATATTATTAGAAAACTGTGACGTAAAACACAAAACAACGAAGTCCTCCCCGAGCCGAATGTATAATGGCCAATACAGTTTTTTGCGTCATTTTTCGATATGCGCAGAAGGTGTAAGCGACTGAGTTTCACAATACTTATAATACCCGAGGTAATTTCGACCTCAAATTAATGTTTTTTTAAATTAATTGAATAAGGATTTTTCAAAATTAGAAAATTTTAGATTTAAAAACCATGTAAAAATTTGCTGCGTCACATTTTTTTTACCCCCTCTATCGGCTATCTGTTCATTTTATTTTTTTAAAATCCGTAAAAAAAATGTTGCTCTTCCATTATAAAAAATGTTGCTTTTCTGTAAAAATGTGAAAAATTTATATTACGTTCTTTAAATTTTGTTATTTTGAGTTGGCAGCTCTGGTAGGCCAGCTATATAATTAATTATATATAACATATCAGCTCTACGCCCTGGGCCCCCGCCCCACAAGTCCCATTCACCATCCCCTTGTGCCGGCCGTGATATAACTCTAACTGGTGTTTAAAAACTTTCATTTTGTGTGACAACACCAACAAATAAAAAATAATTACAAATATTTTTTTTTATAAAATTATTTTATCCATCATAATCCCAAAATTTCGTTTTGAATTAAAAGGAAATAAACTATTATGTTAAAATGACATGTACATAACCTTGTTGGAAGAATTTCAAACATTTTTTAATTCTAATTTTATTTTTTTAATAAATATTCCTTTCAATACTTTGATAGTACAAGTCATCAACCCTGGTTGTTAGAGTAAGACAAGGATTACTGCCCTTGATACCATTTTACATGTCCATAACTCGAAATTTGAATTGTAAATTATGTAACTCTGTAATGAAAACTGGATATTTACACCATTTACAGCTAGACAATCTTTAACTCATTTACAGCTGCAGCTTGGTGCTAATGTTAACCACAAAAATCTGGAGGATGAAGATGTTTGGAAATTTGCTGTCAGGAATGATGATGAAATCATCTTGAGGTTGTTGGTGATTCATCAAAGAAAGAAAGAGTTGGAAATAATTGATGATGGTAAATTAAACATCATCATGATTTAAAAAAAATAAAATAAATGAATTATAAATTTAAAAAAATAGTAACAAGTTTCTTGACAAAAAAATTACAATAAAAAAATATAATATTTTAAACCAATATGTTAAATTAGATCACTGATTTTACAAAGTTAAGTTATAATGGGTTTTTTAACTCCTTATTTAATTATATATTTTTTTTAGTTAAATCAACATAAGCTTCTGTTTTTTGTTGTTTTTATTTTTTCTTGAAGATTTTTTTCATGTCAATATCAAATTATTTAATCAGCAAATTCTTTGTAGGTCTTATCATTTTTATTGATAGTGTTCCATATCATTCATTAAAAATGTAGACCCTTCTCTTTTATGACTGAATTTTTGTTTCACTATTTTTATTGTTCAGCAAAAATAAAATCTGGGATAAATTCTTTGTTGAATTTAGCTGCATCCATTGGAGATTTAAAAAAGATGAAACTGTTACATGCGATGAGGGTAAATTTTGTTTTTAATCAGGATTTTACAATTTTACAGTTATTTAAAATTTGTCATGAATTAATTTAAATAAGTCTCTTTGTCTAAACTGTCTGTAGACAAAAAAATAAACAGATTTTAAATGTGGATTACACAGAGTGATGGCTGATTATTAAGTCAGAAAATAATATTTCCTTATTTAATTTTTTTTATGAAAGAGCTTAGCCTGATTTGCTCCATACTTGGATCTTATCACAAGAAAGTTGAACAATGACAAGTTACATCATTTGAAAATCAGTACTTTGTGTTGGGATGAAATTAATAATAATAATGTAATCTATCCTGTACATGATTAGTTACATGTTCATGCAATTAATTAATTAGACTATGTATATTAATATAAGAATGTTTTTGTAGGTTGATGTGAGGGCCACAGATGAAGATGGAAACAATTTTCTGCATGTTGCAGCCATCAACAACCAGGCTCAAGTTATAAAAGAGTTTCATAAAATTGCAAGTTCTTGTCTTAAATGTTTCTATATTCTGGTCAATTTTGGTAAGCTATTTTTAGTCACAAAACCCTTCCAGTAAAAATAAATTTATGCAGGTAACAAAATTATAATTTTGAATTTTAACTTCAAATTAGGCAGAGAAAAAGCTGACTTTATAAGATATATTATTTGAAGCATTATTATGCATTAAATATTTTAAATTTTGGAATGTGGGGGGGGGGTGAAAAAAAAGAAGTAAAAAAAGTTTTAATTTTTTTTAAATATATTTTTAACTTGTGAAGGTGGACATAAACAGTGCTAACAAGTCTGGGAACACTGCCCTTCATGAAGCTTGTGCTAAAGGTCACCATGAAGCAGTTATGGAACTTATTCAGTGCAAGGCAATGGTCAACATTAAAAATTCACAAGGTTCGTTAAATTTTAAAATATTTTCCCACACATGTTTTGACTGGAATCCATATTATGCTTTGCAATTTTCTGATAATAAGAAGTTTTAATAGCTTTCTTTCTATTTTAAAAATATATTTCAAATATTCCTAGAGTGCACTACTGTCAACTGAAGATAATCACTGAGATATTCACAGACATTCTAAATCTGGAAAAAATATTACATATAATAAATACTAAGATTAAGATTTTTAAATAAAAACTGTTTGAATCACTTAATTAAAGCAATTTGAATTGTGTCCTGGAAGTGAAAGCTCTTTAAATTTTTTTACTAACAAGCTGTTTGGCTGTAGAACAAAAGCATTTGTTTCTAAGAACTGTTTGATTGTATGGCTGTAGGACAAACTGCTCTTCATGTGGCTGCTGCTTCCAAGTCT